TTGATTTAAAAAAATTCAGACGAAGTGATACATCATTCGTTTAAATTTGCTTTTTGATCTCGATTGATTTGATATTGTCTCATCCGTTTAGCCTTTTCATATTCCGGGATTTTACGCCACCATTCCGAGACAAGTTTGCTGTATTTAGTCATTGACATATTAGGTGGTTTATTCTTCATCATTTCCTTGCGGTATGAAATGAACATGTTTGGTTCTCTCTTTTTTCGTTCCCGTGTCTGATCCTTTAAAACAGATGTTTCGGGTTTAGAAAAAGGGATATATATTAGATTATCGTTCATCTTTCAAAGAAATGTTTGTATAAAGAATATGGAAAATGATTGTATACGTGTTTAATGAGATCAATAAAAATTGAGTGAAAAAAAAAAAAAGAGAGAAACGTCTCATTTATTTATATCGAATGAAAAATTTTTTTTAACGGAATCAATTGTCCGTTTCTCAATGAAATATTAACGGAGTTTGGTCTTTGATACTTGATTAATAAAGGAGTTATTAAACCATTTAGTCAATTAAATAAGATTACATTATTAAAGCTCTTTTTAAGAAATAATGCTTTTTTTTTTCTCCTTCTTACCAATCTACCAATAAGATTCTTTGTCAAAGAATTCCTTATATTGACTAAAAAAAAAAAAAATAGAAGCGTCTTTTATAATTATCATAAACGTTCTGAGTGGAAATTAAAAATACTAGTATACAGTATATTGTAATGATATATATACTGTATAAATGAGTTGCCGTGTAACTGTAATTTTAATGGTCGAGACGTGGATATATATGTGATGTAGTTCGTGACTATTAATATAATTATGAAGTAGTCTGGCATAAGAAAATGCACACACAAGCCGTTTTGTTTATTCTTGTCATTTAAATTTAGTAAGTAATGCGATTACTTTGCAAACTATGAACAATTATTTTTATATATGATATTTTCTTTTGTCCACATGGAATGTTTATTTGTGTATACAAAATACAATAACGGATCTCTTTTCACATAGCCGTTGGCTGAAAATAACAAATCAAGAAGTAAGCGCTTTTTACAGTCTATTTGGTTTTAAAAATGGAATTTCATTGTCTTAAAGTTTTTATTGATATTGTAAAATTATTCAATATTAAAAATATCATATCAAACTAAACTAATCAATAAATTTATACTACATTCTATGATATATAAATAAATTTTACACAAAATAAAAAAATTATACGACGTCGTTAACTTATAAATGCAAATATCTTGAGATATGAAAATGATTGTGCCAAAAAAATTGATGTGAATTTACATCATTTGATTTTCTTGTGTAGTGTACCAATGCAAAATATCTATAATATCAGCAAACAGGCTCAATTTTTAAATTTCTTAGATTTTTTTTTTGGAACGGGATTCGGTGAATTAAGAAATCAATTGCTTAAAAATTTTAAAGTTCGTGATATCATGAGATGACTTTAAAATGATGGCTAATTTATCTTTTGTTTTTAAAACAACAATGTAGTACAAATTTATTGACAGGTCACACATGAAAAAAAAATACTTTTGTGCAAATTCCTATAAATCTCGTAAAATCAAACTAGTAATGTAAACCTTTCGTTTAATTATTTTTTGTAGTGTAATAAAGAATTTATTACTTCCCACATTTCGGGCTTCATTTTTTAACCTAGTGCAATGTGGAATCAGAAAAATTAAAATTTACCAAGTGTTCTCTCTTCGTACCAATATTTACAGAACCCGGATCGATCGATCGACATGGGAAAACAAGTCCATAAATATTCACGCCCGATTGCATCAATGGAAATCAAATGAAATTGCTTTAACATTTTTTACAAAACATACATTTTTGGAAAATCCTTACCTTATTAAGAAATGTAAAATTATTTATTATTGGCATAATAAAATTGTTTTATAAAAATTGATTTTTTTTTTTTTAAAAAAAAAGGATAAAACTATGTCGTCCATTTTGCATATTAATTCAACCTGTTTATGTTTACTCGTGTAAAAAAAATTTGAACCCTTTTCATATAATTCAAACGCACTGTTCCAATTTATTATCATAATATACTTAATTTGAATCTTCCGCCTACCTTCTTTTGAATAATTCAAAAGCTTATTATCATATTGAAGGTGACGCGTTATTCTCCTCATTATTGTTAAGGGTCCTACGCATACCCAAACAAATACCAATTTCTTATTCTGAATTTGTTTCTTTCATCAAAAGAATTTTGATCAATTAACTAATTGAGGTCTTGTCGAAATAAAAATAATAGGATTAGGGTTATGTAGTAATGTTTTCGCTTGGATATTCAATTGGTTGGCATAAGGAAGGTTTTATCAATTAGAATCGTGGTGGTAGTGGTAGTGGTAGTATTGTGGTGATAGTGGCGATGATGGTGGTACCGTCGAAACTATAATAAATTAAAAATCCCGTCGAATGTTAAAATCGAACAATCAGCTTGTGCCAAATTTTTTATATTTACCATTATTCAAGCAAAAAAAAATAATTAAATGATGATTACCGCTCAAACTGATCAGGTTTAATTGATTAGATCAAATTTCCAGAGGTTGACTCTTGCCATTTCTAAAATGACTTTTTGATGAATTAATATTTAATTATTAATGGTAAACATCAGAAATATATAGATCATATGAAATTACCATATAATTCTTTCGAGAAGCCAACTGAAATGTTAATTTAACATTTATCTCCCCAAGCAAGATTATTCTTCTAGGTGTATATAACACTATAAATCAATACATTTTTTTTCAATTGATCGTTTTTGATTTCTTTTTTTTTTTTAAAAAAAAAAAAAATAAAATATAGAGTCGAAATATATCCCTAATAAGATTTTATACTTTGATTTGAAGTAGTAAACCCATAAAAGCGGTATCACAAGCTAAATTTTTAAATTTTAAATTAACCTGATATATAGTATAATAATAATATAAACGAAATAATACATATTACGTTTTGTAATTACCTAGCGAAACAATTTCTTTAACGGTGACTTTTGTTAAGACTTTAACGCATGATGTTGTTTGAAGTTTCAAATTAGCATGACAGACTTTTCCAAACCGCCAATTTCTTGAACGTTGAATAAATGGAAAGTTTTCATTTACTTTTTCTAATACCTGGATACATGTAACGTTTTTTAATAAAATTTCTAAGCCACCGATGAAAATATTCAAACTGAGATTGGTGTAACCTTCCCCTATCCAAATGCTTTAATAGTATTGTGTTTTATGAAATTCGTCTTGAAATGAAGTTTTTTTTTTGTAAGATCCTTTTAAAGCGTGGACAACATAGCCGAAAACAAAAATATATGTAATTTTTACAAGGGAGGATACAAAGGTGGGTATTCAGATAATATTCATGTAAAGTTCAAAAAAATCTTTTCTTATTATAATTAAACAAATTTTATTCATCAAAGTTTAATTGAAAGCTTTTAATAATTATATATTTAAATATTCCTCTTATTTATTATATCAATATGAATTTATTTACAAAATATTTTTAGTTTACATTAAATGAAACAGATAATTAATATGTTAATAATATATTATCTAGATCTCTCTTTAATTTGGTCAGTGATGACTCCAATAATCTTTGAATTTTTCTTTATCCACTTATCCCAATGTTACTTTAAAAATCACTAATATTTCATTCATAAGGAAATTTGATGTTATCCAACTTTGGAGCTTTTTCTTTTTCAGATCATGATGTTATGGCACACGCGATCTTTACTTTAGCATACCCAATTGATTAGTTGAAATAACTTCTAAAAGTTGAGTAGAAGTTTGTTCATTATTATTGGAGTTGATTATTTGTGAGAAGACTGAAAAACAAAAAAAAAATTCTAATTATAACACTTCTGAAAATGGATGATGACTTGATTTCTAAAAATTAAATGACGTGACGTTATTTCAAAAATAATCAGTTCAATAATTATTTTGATGTTTGTTTCTTTCATGTATTATCAGTTTACCTCTAAGAAGATTTTGTGAGCATTCCAAAGTATAAATGTTCGTTCGCGTTCATTATTCGATAATGATCATAATTTTAGGACAACACATGCGATAAGTATCTGATTGGGAGCCAAATCAGTATGTTTGTTACAAGTCACGTTAAGATTTTATTTATTGACGTCCATCTATTTACAATCGACCGTTTAATAAATTTTTAAAAATAACATGGTACATAAAGTTTTAAAAAAAAATTGCGGTAAAAACCAAGAAAGTCTTTATTGCATTTTCTTGCGGCATTACTTAATTCCGACTTTTATGTAGAGTATATATAAAATGTATCAACCTGTAAATAATCAAAAAAGTTGATCTGATTCAAAAAAGATTTCATGTAATGTTTGTTTATGATCAGGCGTAAAATTTCCTTAGACTTTTCTACAAGGCTGAAAAATTCTTTGTAACATAGAATAAATGGTTAAAACTTATGACAGATATAATATATACCAGAAAGGAAATTAATCAAAGAAATATGTAGAATGATGTAATTTGAATCAAGTGAACTTGAACAACATTAAATCGACACATGATAGAAGCACCTGTTTTAAATTTCTAATCGACATCAATCAACCACATACGTGTTAATGTGTTTTCACGTTTTTTTTTTAGAATAATCAAAAAAGCCCATGTCCTAAAAAGTAGAGTTTTGAAAGGATTTTTTTTTTCCCTTAGTAGGACTGATTGATTCCTTATCACAACAATCAAATTTAATATTGTGTTTAAAATGGACGGTAAGGACGTACGATATATCATGTGATCATTTTTTTATGTATTTAAATATCGAAATTTTTCGGATAACCGACTTAAAAAAAAAAAAAATCATTAAAAATGTAACCCTATAATTCTGTTTCCCTAGTGCAGTTCCTATTTAAATTAAAAAAAAAAAAAAAACTTTACAAATAAGTTCAAGATTTTATACCTCGATAGATTTATTTATTTTTAAATCAAAATTTTTTTAAATACATAAAAACGAACTTTAAATTTGGCGGTAACCTACAGGAATGGGACTATTTCAAAAAATCCGTATGCTAAACCGAGGGCTAAAAGATTATTAATGATATATGATCTAGCCGAAACGTGTTTGGAAATCCCTTCAATAAAGTTTCGTCATTGACATAAAAAGGATGGCCATATAATAATTGCCGAGATTTGAAGTGATTCTGGTCATACTTTCCTCCAACTTCTGAATGGGTTTGTCCACCTAATAACCGCTTATAAAAATTCAACAACAATAACAAGTCGATAGGTCTTGATGACATTGGGAATTTCTTTTGAAGTTGCTTTCACCGAAATTTTCCTTTTTTAAAAAAATATCAACTTCCTTTCAACAAAAATATTGAGTAAAAACAAACTCAACTTTATTAAAACAAAGCTGAGATGAATCAACAACCATTTCCTTTGAGAATGTCCGAACGAAAGAAGATCGTGATTGAAATTACACGTAGAATAATCGGACTGAAAATTTATTAAACAGTAGAGCGGTAATTCAGGACACGTGAAATAATTAGTGTCAATAACATATGAACGCTGATTAAAATTTGGGTAATAGCGAGCGATTCTTAGATATAATAAATGAATTTCTTTGATATGTGATTTATTTTAAATTTTTCATAAATAAAAATAATTTTTCATAAATCTGTTCTTGATCGTCAGAATACTTGGATAATTGTTTAATAATCGTTACCGGCTGTATCAAATAAAAGAACCTCGAATTTTATTCAGCTTTGACGGCTCGTGCTCGGGTGAGGTCGGGTTACTGTATTCGAACCCGTCACTATTTACAGAATTTAAGAATACGATTGCTAATAAAAAAAATATATATATATTATCGTAGTGAAGAAAACAGACCCATTTTTCCTATTCGGGTCTTTGTACACAGTAATACAAATCTCATGATATAATTTTTAAAAAATATTGATCAACAAAACACTTGCCCATGAAATCAATTTTGACCGCGAATTTACTATAGAGTACTCTTAATCCTAATCTTATTCCTAATATTAATCCTAATACTAATCCTAATATATTAGGTAATCTATATGCTACATTGGCCTACAATAAACAAGGGGATAGATAAATAAACGGGGGCCAACTCAAATGTTACACAGGCTGATCAAGTACTAAAAAACTGAAGCCTTTATAAATTGGTTACACAAACGAAATTTCATATACTTTTTTTTATTTTCTTGACACATACACATAAGAAAGTAACTGATCCTAGAAGTTAAAGTCGTTTATGTTAGCTCTACATATGATTTACATCCAAATTAAGCCACTGGTTAGTTTCTTCTTTAGTTTTATATATTTTTATTACTTAATAATAGAGAGTTAAAAATTATATATATATATTTTTTTCGAGATCTTAATAAAAAGTTATAAATATTTTTACTTAAAATGTTTAAAAATAGTGTTTTCTTATTTTCTTATGTATTATTTTCAAGTATTTAATATACTTTTATATAATTTTGAAGTATTTCAAATAGCTGATCCTATTTTTTAAAAGATATAGAAGCGAAACTTTAATAAAGATTATAGATTTGAATAGTTTCACATTTCATTATTTTCACATGATAATTATTTTTCATAGATCATATTGATTATTAGCCAATCTATTACTTTAAACATAAGGTAATATTACATTTCAATATAATTACTTATAAAATTATATATGACTTTTTTTTTCCTATTAATATGTGAATGGCTTAAGAGCTCACTAGAGAAATACTTATATAGCTAAGTAAATGTTACCCTTAAAGTAGCCTTTTAAAGTCTTTAATTCACAGTTAAGAAGTATGGTAACTCAACACTAAAAGCATATCCCTAATAGTTTGTTATCTAGTATAGACCACTTGTAATAGTTTAATCTACCATCACAGGCTTACTAGACCACCAGGTATCATTATCTTTGGATAGAAGGTTCACTTTAACTATAGAGCTTATCACACCCTATTTTTATCAATCTAATTTATAGGGTTTTACCCTATTGATGACTACTGAAACCGTAAAATCAGGTCCTTTACATAGATGGTGGTTTTGTACCTATAACATTAAATTCACCTGAAAATTGAACTCAGCCTCTACTTCTAGTAATAGTTCAATTAGATAGTGCTGCAGTGTGTAATGCAGTCTATTATCACTATAGCCTACCTAAAGGTGATATCTAATCTACTAATTACTGGTTAACCACTTCCTTACTTATGTAAGAGCCTCTAAATTTGAAGATGTAAAATAGTATCTATTATAGATCTGTTAGTAAAGGTCAAGTTTTTATCGATCTTTAGTTTTATTTACATTTACATATTCTTCAAAACCAGTATTTAGGTATAATTAATATTAATTGATAGATCAATTAACCAATTTTTAATATATATTAGTATATACACTCACATATTCAATTATATATGAATTTCTTATGAAAATCATCTAGTTTTATACTTCAGCTGAGACTTGAATCTGTGGCTATAGTAGTATAACCCACAATAGGAGCTCAGTTATTACTAACTGAACTAGAGATGCTAATCTCTATAAAATTATATATGATTTTAATTCAGTCTTATAATCATAAATACTATGTAACCTTAAGTTGATCTTTCTGTTTATTTATCTATCTTCTAGCAATAAATATTCAGATTTTTATCATATAAATTTGTATCTCTGTATTATAATTACTGATTTCTCCCTATCGCATATATAAATAAAAAAAATAACAAAAATATTATATTTTATTACTCTTTTAATTCTCAATGCGTAAAAATAAAATTTTAATAATTACTGAAATGAATAATTAGTGTATATCTTATTAGTAATATACTAATTAGTACTATAAGTAATATTATAAAAAAATATAAAAAAACTGGTTTTACAAAACTTGAGCAATGTTCTGGAAGTTTTAATATCTAAACTTTAAAACGTATTATATGAACTGACCAATTTTCTCTTCTTAGTTATGTGACAGATAAGTTTAATACTAATTTTGATATAATATTTATATACTGAAAGATGATAGTAATAGTTTTTCTATTCTAAGTTATTTTAAATTCTCCATTCACTATAGGTTTTTAATCAATATAATGTAATCATGGTATATCAAGAATAAGCAGAAATTTTTCATTTTTATTCTTATCTTTTTTTTAACTTAACTATTTAAATTCATCTAAAACAGTCAAAAAATCTTCTTTAATTTCAATAGTTATAAGAATATCATTTATAGTTCTAATAGATTTGGTTAAGTTTACAATATTATTAAGTGTATAAACTTTCTTTCTATTTATTTTGAGACTTAAATGCTTAGCTATATTCTCTGAGATAATTAAAAAATCTGAGTCTATATTAATCATTATATAGAAAATTGTTATAGATCTGATTTAACAAGAAATAGTTACTATATCATCTGAATCTTTTAGCTAAAAAAAATTTCTTAAGAAGTTTAGATTAATATGCTTACCTCTTTAATCTATCAATCTGTAGAATAAAATATATTAATCAGTATTAGTAATTAAACTAATTAGATTTAGTAAAATTATGTTACAATTTAAATTAGACATATATATTTTATATGTCTAATTGTTTAATTTATGCAATTGAATGATAAAATTGTCAACACTAATATTGATATATCTAGTATTTAGGTATTTTACCTCAATTAAGAGGTTATCTAAGTTTATTAATATATTCTGATTATATAATTTAATATATAAGAAAGGGTGATTCTGCCAGGACTGATCATAATTTTTTTCTATTCTTATTATTTTTTTTTAGAAGTAAAGCAAGATTCTCTTCCTTTTTCTTTACTTTTAGTTTATTAATAAATTATATTAGTAGATATAAAATATCCTAATATATATCTATAATATTATCCCACATTTTTTTTTTTATTAATAAAATAGTTAAATCCAAATAAGAATTAAATGTGAATTCTTTATCTCTAAAAGTATTTTAGTAATATATTAGTAAAGTTTTATAAGAATCTTTTAAGATATTAATTAATTAATAAACTGATTATATGCTTAAAAGTTTCTAAAAAAAGTGTCTAAATATAAATATTTAGTGAAACAGATTTTAAAGGAATCACGTCTTTTAGCAAATTCTTAAATTTGGAATCAGTTTGTTTTTTCTTTTTCTTATCCTTAATAGTAAAAGAATGTTTTTTACTACTTTTTTTAAAACTATAGATATATTAAGATTCTTTATTACTACTTGATTCTTCAAAAGAATCTGTTTTCTTTTCTTCAGATTATTCTTCTAAAATACTAGAACTGGAATCTTCTGACTTAGATCTGTATGTATGATTAATCTTTTTAGACTTCTTATCTTTAGAATATTTATTTTTTGTATGACTAGTCTTTTTATAATTTGAGTAATGTCAAGTAATCTTACTAGATTTACTAAATTTTTTAAAATTACTCTTTATAGTATAAAATTTAATAGATTCTTTAAATGAACTCTTTAGAACATAAGCTAATCTATTTCTCAATTTTTTTTTAAGTTCTTTATAAACATAAGTTTTATTACAATCTAATTATTTAAATACTTGTATAACCTAAATCTTTTGCAAGCTATATCTATCTTTTTCTATTTTACTAGTTTATGAGATAGGATTTTAATATAGATTAATTTTCATTAAAATTGAACCTATTTATTTTATAATTCATATTTATTTTCTAATCAAATTCTATATAACTCTATAAAAAAGCATCTAGATTAGCTGGATTAGCTTGTCTAAATCTTATTTCTATATATTGAGATATATAATCATAAAGATAAGGTAAAACTTTTGCATAAGAAATACCTTATATATATATCTTAATTCTTTTCTTATAATTATCTTTAGTTTAATTATTTATAAGATCTTTTCTATTCCCTATTATACTAATTTATTATGCATAATTTTTCTAAACCTATTATTTAGGTATCTCTAATCTAATATGTATTTCTTTCATTAATCAAAATTTGATTTAGAATTTTTTTTCACGCTGTGATTATATTCTGAATTCTTGTAATTATTGATTAAGTATTCCAGTTTGACAAGTATATATTTTAATTATTATAGATTAACCTTGCTATTACCATTAAACTAATCTTATATATATAATAATATCACTTAATCCTTTACTAATACTATCAATTGATCTTTTATATTATCTAAAAATCAAAACCTAAAAGGATTTCATTAGAACTAAACTCATCTAAATAAAGCTGAATTTTTGCTTAAAAAATTGCAACCCAAATTTTTTATCTAAAATCCCTTGAATTGTATTAT